TATATATATATATATATATATATATATTTATATATTACACCCCCATACATATACGCAGGCCCATACATACATATATATATATATTCGGGAATAGTTAATGAGATACAGATATTTGAATATATAAAAAACTTTTATATATATATATATATATATATATAATATATATATTATATATATATATGTCAGAAAAAAACAGGTCTCAATTACATTGCAACACTAACAATATTAATTATTCACTAGTGTTAAACACACACAGAAAAAACCTTCTGGTATAGTTGACAGACAAGCATTTTTGGAAATATGAAGCATTAAGAATTCCTGATAAACATGAGTTTGCAAACAGGGGCGGAACAATAGATGGCCGACGAGCCGAAAGGGGGTGGAGTCGATAGACAGCACTACCCCTGGGAAATTTTTGTTTTCCAGAAGCCCAGATATAGCCTCAGAGGCGTTTTGGGGATCAATAATTTCTTTTTCTTTCTTCATTTATTTTTTACTTCCCCCTCCCCCAAGGGGAGGGGAGTGCGACCCCCTCCTAAATCATCCACTGGCAAATCATATAACGAAATAACGTACCAAGGCATAGCCTACATAAAAGAGGGGGAACTCACTATATAGGCCGAGTTAAAGTTAAGACGGGATCAGGCAGTCACTTTCACCATTTTTTCTTATCGTAACCAAGGGAAGAAGAATTAGAGTTCAGTGGATCTAGTGGAAACAACTTGAATACGTCAATGCACCAATATCATCACAGACCACCGTCAAGGGACATTAATATTATAGAAGACAACCTTACAACTAGAGTCCGGAGCAAAAATAATTTTAGACACAAAAAGTGCGTTTGGCGAAATGGTTAATGAGATCCACATTTTTGAATATTTAAAAACTGGGAGAAAAAGGATCGTAAACACCTTCTTTTTTCTATCTTTTCTCCCAGAATATAATTATTAAAAAATATCTATCTCGTTAACCGTTCCAGAGTTTTTCGTAAAACACCCTTTTTATGTCTTAGAAAGTTTTCCTCCGGAGTCTGGCTTTAAATTCTAATATGAATTATTTCTGTTATTGGATCCAAGACATAACGTACAGGTACCCCTAAGGATGACCAAGTGTGAACATTTTTGAAAATATGCTGATCAAATAAAATGAAAACCAACCAAGTGGCAGCTGTGAAATTATTCAGCAGAACACGCACACGTAAGCCACAAAATAACATACCACGGTAAACAAAAGCGTACAAAATAAAAGGCCGGCCCAAAAAAGAAAACAAATCATAAGGACGAAATGAAGAAGAGAAAAGAAACAATTAGAAACAGTGCCCCAAAACGATGTTTATATCTATACCCGTAGTTATGGTCAATTTGGCCAGGAATTGCAAGACAATTAAATCAATATAATTACTATAATATAGTTATGAACTTACATGTTTCTGTGCGACAAAAACAGAAGAAGATAATAGCAATGGTTGATTTTAACATCCTGTCCAACGTGCCTCTTTCGTAGATCTTCCGCGATCTAAAAATGCGTTCTGTTTTCTTAGCATCAAGAAATATCATGATTAACACCACGTGACTTTCATCATTAATATGAATTTTGAACCTTATTACTCATTAATACCATTATGTACCTTGATCTTCCGTATGCTTACTTGCGTTTGAAGTACAGTACAGTATTTTCCAAAATTGGGCGGAGTTAAGTCCCTCATAAAAACAGCAAAGACGCAAGTTATGAGTTGGATTATAAAGACCTATTAATATTAGGTGCTGTATTGCAGAATTCATCAATTTTTGAATGCCATTTTATATTATGAATTCACAGCTCTTGTATCTTGGAAATCCTTGTTTTTTGTTGAAACATTTCTGCCAACTAGAAAAAATAATTTAATGCAGAATTTGTACGATGATTTCATTTATTTAAGAGTGCCCCTGAATATCAGCCGACCTGGAATGGTGCCCTCTATAAATATGTTTAAGAAAAGAAAAAAAAGCCTTTTTGTATATAGGCCTATAGAAATTTATTCAATTAGTGGTTCTAAAGTATGAAGTCTACATAGTAGCTTAGCTACTATGCCATCCATTTTTTTTTCAAATATCAAAACCTGTTCAAAAACGTTGAATGATAGTGCAAAAGAAGCTAGTTTACCCACTGTTCAACTACAGCGCAAAGCGCAAAAAGAATAAACACACTTAGTGGTACCGTAACGGTTGAGTAGAGTTTACCCACTGTTCAATTACAGCGCAAAAAGAATAAATACAGTTATCGGTACCGTAACGGTTAAGTAGGCCTACTACTTATCAAAGCCAAAACAGTAGTAGATTTAAGACTGAAGAGGGAAATGGTTGTTCTCCCTCATACCGTAAATGCTCGAATAAGCGTCGCTCTCGAATAAGTGCCGCGGCGCTTAGTCGGGAGATATATATTACCCTTTGTGTAATGAAACACTTTGAGAAACAGGGTTTTAAATACAATGTATACAGTGTTAAAATGAATAAATAACACAATGAAGACACAAGCATTTCTTTATAAAGGTTTATTAACGGTGACGTAGGACCTACGATAGGCCAACCGAACTACGGGAATATACGTAAGATAGGTAACATGGGAATGGGCATGGAAAGCGCCACGCCATTATTTTTTTTTATAATTGAGCCGCGCTGGAATAAGCGCCGCGGCATTTATTCGAGCATTTACGGTAAATTTTTATCTAGAGACCTGAAAATGCACTTTCCAGCATTCAGAAAGTTTTGTCGCTGTTACATTTCTTGATATATCTGGGGTGTTTTATGTGTTAGTATGAACAAATTATCATTAAGCCTACTATTATCGCTCAAATACAGAAACGAATATGGTAATTATTTTTCTCATATAGACTGGAATTGTTAGGCCTTGTGTGCGGATTTGGCTGACAGCACCTAGAAACAAAACGATTGTAAAACAGTTGATTAAAAAAAAAAAAAAAAAAAAAAAAAAAAAAAAAACACCCCATCTTTTTTTATTTCATTTCATTTATTCAACCACAATTTAACAAATGGTGATACAGATAAAAAAAAAAAAAAAACCCGATAATGGGCCACCTTTAGCAAATAAACACAAAATGAACAATTTGAAAACTTATGATAAAATATATCAAACTTATACAATAACTATAACCGATTTATTTATTTAACAAAGAAACACAAAATAGGCCTAAACAAAGTTTACTAACAATGTGAAAACCTAAGATAAAATATATCAAACTTAGGCCTATACCAAAACACAAAATATAAATATAAAAATTGAAGAAAAAAAGACGTAGGCATAAATATAAAAACAAATGCCATCAATTTCTTACCCTACCCCTTTTTTTTACTACTTCAAATAATACATAATAATATTGCACAATATTATAACCAGTCCCACCACTATAACATTAAGGAAAGTGTCATGATATATAAGCTTTGATAGTGGTAGGCAGAGAAGTCCAAATTAGCTGGAAATTTATGGATTTGGGTGAAATTTACTGTAATAAAAAAAAACACATAGTAAAATGAGCGCATACAGTAACTTATTTATAAAGATTACTTAACAACTTATTTACGGTACTTATTGTTAAGCATAACTATATCAAATTTAATATTATTATTGATAAATGGTAATATAAATATTATGATCATGCTTTTTATAATTATATTTTAATGGGTTATCATAGAATGTTATTATATTATATAATTTTATTTATTATTTGTAATAGAAAATATATTGTAATATAATTTATTTATAATAATAATAATATAAGCATAATCAAAATATTGCATTATATTATAATGAATTTAAATATTTTTGGTGAAAATAATATTAGAAATGTTAGAATATACTGAAGTAGGCCTTTATAATTATACTTAATATATTGCATTTACTATATATTAACATAATAAAATTATATATAAATATTGTATAATTATAGTAAATTTATTTTATTTTTGTTAAAAATAATTAATATTATAAAAATTTATTATAATACTTAAACTCAAACTCAAACTAACATTTATTTTCCTTCATTGACATGTGTTACAATATATACAATGTGAAACAAGGTCTATATAGGCCTAATTATACTTTAATATGTATTCTATAATGAATTTGAATAATAATTATGCTATGCTAATGTAATGAAAATAATGTTATAAATAAAATGTAGTATGTGCTGTTTTTCATTTCAGGCCTACCAACTACCGTTCAATCAACCGAAGAACAATAGTTATAACCATTCTGATTTACTGTATGATAAATGTAACATTATATTTTAGCTGAATATGCATACTGCTTCATTGTTTTTAAATCAATGGTTTTACAATCTATGGATGTTACTGAAATAATTATATAATAAAATTTGAATATAAAGTACGTTACACTTCTCATTTCATTTCTGTTTTTAGTGGTTTTCCTTATTCAATACTCATATAATTATTGTACTCTGAAAATGTAAGAATATCAGATGAATGAATTTTAGGCTACACATGTCATCGACCAGGATTCAGCTGTTGGAGTACCATGCAACTTCTAACTTTAGGAAAATATAATGAATTTTCAAAACAATTTTAAAGTTATCAGAATTAATTATTCACCACAAAACAAACTTACAGCTGTGCAAGTGTGTAAGACACAATTCTAATATTACAATCAAAACACTATAAATGAGATAAAAACATAATTTGGCTGTGTATACTCCTATTTGCCTGAGAAACTGTTCAAACAGACATACTGAGCATGAGCAGTAATATTTATAAGGCGTTGCCATGGAGAATATTATTTTGACCTCGCATATTTCATGATTTACATATTAGCTCTGGGCTATTTCGTCCAGGTTTCGGGAATACGAAAACCAGGACTAACTCTAGTCTACGACTAACTAGTCCAGGACTACAGATAATCCTGGACTAACTTAGACCACTTTCGCGAATACGGGCCATAGAGACTAAGTTCATAAATCGCTACCAAACCGGTACAAATATAAAGACAGCCGAACGTTTACAGTCGTATTTTTGTCCTTCAATAAAGATGTGTATCGCAAAATTAAGTGTGTAGCTTAAAAATTAACGTACAAACAATTTAACTTTTCTTTAAAAAGATGACAATGTTAATTTAAAAATGTTAAAAGTATCGCAAAATTTCACTAGTCAGAACGAACTATTCTTGATCGAAGCATATGACTTTCCTGTTCAACAGAGGAGGATACTGAGCGATTAATCGATATGTGTCAAAGTTCATTTCCTCATTATCGATTACCACGTGATTTGAGAATAAGATGCACACGTGATCGTTCTTCTCGAATCTGAAAGCATCACATCAAAGACATCTAAACACATTCGAGAACAGTCGCCATATGTTCTGGTGACGCCTTTCTGAAGGATTTGTCCCGCAGCTGTTTGCTGAAGTAGCTGTTTGCTACTTCAGCAAACAGCTGACCTGTGGCACTCCCAATCTGTAGTTGATGTGCATCCAGATAGGTTAAGCTAGTATTGTTAAAGCTCACTATTTCTCCATTTCTCCAAAGTGTGATTGTGCCATTAAACGCCAGGGTAAGAAATGTCCAGGTCTCAGGTAATAGAACATGGGCCCGTGTAAGCTGCTGGTCATCAAAATATACGGTCACTTCGGACTACTGAGCTCTACTTGGGCGAGAGTTACAGATTCTCCACACTTGGTAAAATTTGCGATGTCGCCACCTGAACCAATTCCAATGGCAGCATGTATAAGTCGCAAATGACAATCATCACCTAAATATCAATAAAACAATTTGGGATTTAATAAATAATACAATTAAATAATAATAATAATAATAATAATAATAATAATAATAATAATAATAATAATAATAATAATAATAATAATAATAATAATAAATGAGGACTTTATAGCGACGATAATCTTGCGACGCTCACGGTGCATCAAACCCGCATTACTAAACATTTTTCCATGTGAAATGCGTTATGAAAGAGATGTGATTTTAAGTTCCTTTTGAAAATATCCTGAGTGATGGTGCAGAAGAAAATGGTAAACTATTTCAGACTTTAGCAGCCGCTATCTTGAATGACCTTTCACCCAATTGAGTGCTCAGAGCACACTTAATGTAGAGGAGCGAAGAGACGCACATGGCGGTTTTTGTTCTCCTTTATTCATTTATTTAGCAATCAGAAGCCTGTTATACTACCGTCTCCTCAAGCCTTTCAGCAAATATATTTCCCTACTAATTATCAAAACCAAAATTGAAAATACTAAACAAAAAATTATTATTAAAAAATTTTAAATGACAACTCTCACCGAAATATTATTGAACAAATCCATTGAAATTCTAGTAAATATATGAAATATTGAGTTGTTAGTTATTCACCCGAAATATGTAAGAAGTTGTTAAAATAACTTTAATTCAATCATTAATGTTCATTTTCCATATACAATGCTACACACTTTCAACCACGCAAAGGTGGTCCTGGTTCAACTCGGTTTATTATTGTAACTCGTGTTATCAGGTATTCGTTTCCTAGGTCGATCTCAAGCCATTGTTGAAAACCAAGCGCTGTGAAAAATAAGAAAAATTAAAATTAAAATAAACAAAATTTACAATTTCAAAAATATACGTACTAAAAAGAACTAGATACTGGTTTATACACCAAACATTCTACTTTCATTCGTTTTTCTTGCATTTTATATCGTAACATTTATTGAACAAATTTTACAGATGTACAATGTGCAATTCTATTTTGCAACGAGCTCAATGGAAATGATTTTACTTTTTTAGTTTTTCTTTGCAATTAGGGTCATGTTTTGTGCAATTTTTATCCTGTTAGTGTCTAGTAAATTGTTTTTTGTATGTATTTCATGAGTCTGATTACGAGTAAATGCAATCAAACGAAGGCACCAACAGAAGCGGTTGTTTATCAGTTTTGATACCAAACAAACAGGATACGGACAGAGAGAGCCAAAAATTTGGATTTTGGGTCACCCACGAAAAGGCACTCCCTGGAAGGGGAAATGCCCTAATGTTGACTACGCAACGGTAATGATAATACCGTGCGTCATCACGTACCAACGCATCCCCGTAGGATACGGTACTTCCCGGAAGGAAGCTTACATAACAAAAACAAAATAGACCTAAAGCAGAGAAGTACAAATTCACATAAAAATTATAGCTATATAAAAAAAATAATAATAATAAAAATGCCACAAAAAATAGAATAAAAAATATGGTAAATATTAGAGGGTATGTTAAAAGCGTATTTTATGCTTATCACAACCATATGGGACTTCAGTCACTCCTCGAATTCATCCACGTTTAGCTACCGTATACAGGCATACGGAAGGCTAATTCGGCGCGTTCATATTATTGTAATATCCATATATTAATTTAATAAAATTCTGCTGTTTTATAATTTTATTTATGACGAAAGGGCTTTCTAACAACGATCAGCTCAAACTACCACACCGCCGGTCAGTGGACTGGCGGTGCATTATGGGCAAGCGTGCTGACGAATTCGTCGGAGCTTGTGTCAGGCGTTATTCATGATAAATACACCTGGCGTTATAAAGATTTAATTTCAATGTCCCTAGGATTGGTAGGCAAGCATTATTAACCACAAATAACAGCTCTACATGACACAGTGGCGGATCCAGGAGTTCAAAACAGAGGGCCTAGGGCGGGACATCCATAGATGGATGGTCTATAGACACTACCCGAGCCCACCGTTTACGATTATGTCACCTCACCTCAGATGGACGGAAATTGAACTTTCAGATTTAAATTTGAATAGGGCCTATAATTTACCTTTTTTCTCAATTGTTTTCAATAATATTGAACAATTAAGTAGGGTGGGGGTTGAGTCACTTGAAGCTGCCACTGCTCACAACAACTTAGTCTTAGGCCTACTTAAATAACTATGAGTTGTTGAGGATGACGCAGACTTATTGAATGATAGGTATACTATAACCATTAGGAAGGAAAAAAAATTGGGAAAGTTATTAGGCCTAACCCCTTCATTGTTTATTTATATATTTATTAGAATTGGCGGGAAATACAGAAGGCAAAGTGTGATCAAAGGGAGGATTTTTAAGACCACAATGTAAAATGTATATAAACGTACAACGCATCAAATTGTCAATGAGTAAATATCCTACTATCTTCATAAATCAATTATATCCTACTATCTTCATCAATGAATCTACTTTCTTCCTCAATGAATCTACTATTTTCATCAATGAATTAATAATCTACTATAACATTAAGTTAAATCAAGGAGAAAATATAAAATAAAGATATCTATGGGTGAAAAGCAGAAAAAAATAAAGGCAACGGTTGGTACAAACATCGTGTCTGGCTCTTCTCAAAGGATATTCGCAGTGCTTATGACTTGTAGGCCTAGCGTTCTTTCGTACCAAATGGGGATTATCACGTGGCACTGTAATCCATAATAATGACGCATATGAGTAGTAGGCCTATAGGTTGACTTGAAGCGCATATTGGCAGTTACAATATCGAAGCTGCTGACTGGATACGGAAACGATAGGAACCAAAAGAGTATTTTTTTAGGGAGACTCATTTCGTGTATTTGACCATTTTACCATATTTTGACCTATTTGACCACAGATGGATTGATAGAAGAAGAAAAAAAAAAAAGAAAGAAAAAGAAAAAAACTGATCACCCAGAACGCATCAGAGGTTATTTTATCTCAATTTGCTCCACTTTCGAATCCCCATTTCCCCCCATTTCGCCCCCCACTTTCGGACATCTCTGGATCCACCCCTGATGTTTATGCTTATGGCACCTCTAGATTTAAATATAATTTACCTTTTGTTTTCTCCATTGTTTTCAATAATATTGAACAACTAAGTGGAGGTGGGGGCTGAGCCGCTTGAACCTGCCACTAATCACAACAACTTAATCAGTTACTTGAGTGGAAACAAGAGGTGTGATCATGTTTGATTTATCATCTCCGTCCGTAACCTTTTCAGGCAAAAAATAAACCTATATTGAAGCTGCTGACTCTGGATACGAAAGCGATAGGAATCAAAAGAGTATTTTTTTTCAGGGAGACTCATTTCGTTTATTTGACCGTTTAGCACACTCATAAAGTGTTCCCTTCCCCCTTAATAGGGGTCCTTACTAGGAGTTGGCTGTAGTGTTATAAGATATATTTCCTCTCGTTTCCGAAAGTGTCCACTGGATAGGGATGTCCAAAAAAGGAAGGGTTCTACTGTATTATCTAATATATGAGAAGTCTATACAGTTTGTAGAACTTTAAACTGTGGCCCTTGCACCCTAATTTTATCAGTTTTATGTCGTCTTTCACATTTGACAAACAACATACCAGTTGATTAAGTAGAGAGTTAAATATAATTTCAATGTTTAGAATATAATGCACTTTGTGAGCTCCATCGACAATGTTATATTACTGAGAATTTTAATCAAATAGAACCAAAAAACATATTTATTTATTAAACATTATTGGATATTTTTCGTTAGGATCCTTTTGAGATAAGCCTGGTTGTCATGTTGCTTGATGTTAATTTTGCTTGAAGCAAGTTCTTTGGTGTGGAGTTAACACGACCTAAAACCTTGTTCTAATTAAGTACTGTAGCAACTACACTTGATTAACTAGACAGCGAAGCATCATCGTTGACAATGGAATTGCATTCAAGATTATTCCAGTATAATTACATGTATAAATTTCAGTCAAACTAAATTTAAAAGTCATTAATTATGAATAAGTGATACAACGATAATTACAATAACTCTTCAAACTCTACAATTGCCAATAATGTTTTAAAAGTTATAAGCTAGGCCTATGTGTAGGCATAAAATTAACAAAACCTAAATTATGTTCTGAAAATCGATAATTCAAGGACAATTGAAAAGTCAACAACCTTCGATATTAGAATTTTGACGCATAGGCGGATTCAAAAGCACCCACTATTTTCTGAAAATTAAAACAAAACTCTAAAATTGCCATTTCCGGCATCTAGAAGCGCTTCCGTCTCAGCCCCATCATGTTTGAGGTAGTCTGAACTTGTCCATTTGTAAAATTTCCATTCTGGGGGCGCCCTCTATTTCGAATTCCTGCATCCGCCACTGTGTTAGTTTAATCATTTTCAAATCATTTTGCCCAATCTACATTTACATATTGAGAACATTTCCTTACATATTTATTTTGTAAAAAAGTAGGTTTTGACAGCATAACATAATCAAGCATCATCAGAAAGATACTGCGTTACGTTACGTCACGTCACGTCGCAATAATTATAGGCTTACATTCCAAGTTAGGCCTACATTACTTTGTTTTACATTAATGTTCAATCAACGCAGACTAATATATCTACCTTGTAATAATAATTACAATTAATAATGATTGCAAATATTTAACATGTTATGTGAGATTAAATTTTAGTTTACATTATTTGAAGTGAAGAAAGGATTTTAAACATGACATACATTCCATGACAACATTACATTAAATCACGTGACGTCATTTCATGTTAAGTTACAGAGCACATTACATAATATTAGTATTAGTTACAATCATATTACATTAATTAATATTAATGAATTACATTATTAATTTTATTATTACATTAATTACTATTAACTAATTGTATATTCAGCACCACCACCACCCCCCCCACCCCACTTTTTTTTTTTTTCAAAATCCTGGATACGCCACTGCCAATCGATATTATTATTATTATTATATCGGAGTAATGTATAATTCTTGTGTCAACGCTGGGATTTCGTAGGCCTCTGGTTTAGCTGTTGCTCCCTGTTCAATAATAAAATCATATATATTGTCTATTCCGGCTGAGTCAGGTCTCTCTCGTTCTTTTGGTTGAGTATCGTAGCTGTCCACCTTATTGGCTACGGTTTTTATCATTGCTCCGAGCAGTTTATGTTTATTTGCCTGATTCGTGTGGAATCTAGAAAAAATATTGAAATAACAGTACTCTTTCTTTACATATCAGTGGCTTTATATTTCTGGGGCGGATGCAGGGGTGGGGGGAGGGGAGGGGTGCAGACGATGCGATCGCACCCCCCACTCCCCAAATTGTGTTAAGAAAAATAATTGTTGTATTGTATGGTTGATATGAATTACAGGTAAGATTTTTAAGGTACTAAAGTGAAATTTCCGGGTACGTAGAGGTTCATATTCTTAAAATTCCCTCACCTCAGCCCAACAATGGTGGCCCTGAGGTGGTGTGGTATCTTTCATCAGAAAGATACTGCGTTACGTTACGTCACGTCACGTCGCAATAATTATAGGCTTACATTCCAAGTTAGGCCTACATTACTTTGTTTTACATTAATGTTCAATCAACGCAGACTAATATATCTACCTTGTAATAATAATTACAATTAATAATGATTGCAAATATTTAACATGTTATGTGAGATTTCACGCACCCCCTACCCCCTCGATTTCACGAGGTGGTGTGGACTTTCACGCACCCCCTACCGCCAAACCATGCAACCGCCCCAGTAATTGTATACAATATGAAATATTTAGATAGAGTTTAAATAGAGTTTTTACCTGTAGAAGATAAGGCACGCAAACAACAGTAGTACACTAATTACAACAAAGGAAATAATCCCTATCGTAGAAGTTGAAAATATCGTGGAAGTTGAGACTGACGTGGAAGTTGTGTCTGTTAACTTACTATTGCCTTTAAAAAGTAAAAAGTAAATAATCATTGTTAAAATAACACTGTGACGTGCTTATCATATATATTTAATTATTGAAAATTAAAAAAATAATCCATAACATAGAAAAGAGGTATGAATACAGTACATCAATACCTAATTGTTTTTTTCCGTTTCGTTTGACGCATTTAGCCTTTTAATTTTATTCATTCAATTTATTCAAAACCCTCTGGAACGGAGAAATAAAAAAGTACAAGCTTAAACAACCCACTATAACCCAACCCTAAAAAAAAGAAAGAAAAAAAACAAACAAAAACAAAAACAATTGTATTATATCAGACACCAGAACAATTTAAATAAAACTTACAGATAAAAATACGAAATAAAATGAAATATCTAAAATGAAAAAGTAATATGTTTTCATACGTTTATTATTATTACTATTATTATTATTTATTATTATTGTTATTATTATTAATTATTCATTATTATTATTATTAGAGCTACATGATAAAAGTTTTTACATGCCTTTTTCCAATTCCTTATGATTTAATAATTATATTAATATTATAGTTGTTATATTTAAATTATTCATATATTGTAATGTATACTGATGATTGAATTGGAAATAAAGGCGTATTGAACTGAAAACATTAAATTGAATATCTATGGAAGTCAGACAACACTCGCTAAACCTCGCTTATTGAATCTGACACAAAATATCAGTGCAAGTCCACGTACAGAAAATAATAATTACCAGTAATGGAAACAGTAAACATACAGCTACCCGTATTACCAGCAGCATCAGTAGCAGAGCAGTTTACATCTGTCGAACCAACAGCAAACGAGGAACCAGAAGGCGGCGTACAAGTAAGAGGCAGGTCAGTGTCCAGGTTGTCTGTGACTTCTGCGTAATCCCATGTCACAATAGTGCTCGAAAATGTTATGTTCGCTGGACACGTCACAACGGGACTCTTAATATCTACAGAAAATGATAAACACCTCTAATTGAAAATTGAAAAAATATATTTTAAAGTTTTTATCTTCATCGTTATTACAATTAATGTTATTATCATCACCTCATTGTCACCATTATCATCATCACCATAATATGGATGGATGTATTCGGTGGAAACACCAAGGATAACTCACAAATGTCTGAAGAAGACTTATTTCCAGTGGGGTCTTTCTGGTGGTGATTACCTATGCAGCACGCCGGAAGACTATCCCCTACCGTACTCTTTTCCGAAGAGTGTACTGCGTTCTTTAACGTCCACATTGGCCATAATGCACACGAGACCAACGGCTTAAACGTCTCTTCCGAAAGACGGTGCGCTATTGTAACTTTATTTCAGCCCTCCCGGCTGAAATGCAAGGAGAGGAGTGATGCCAATCGAACCGGGGCCCAGAGACCTCCACTGTTCAGTGCACACACAGTGGCTACAACCAGTGTAAGGCTAAAATATTGTTAAAAACATTTGTTTCATCAAAAAATACATGTGAAAACTTGTACCTCACACAGTCTAAGATGTTCAGACGTCGGTACGTAGACGCTAACGTATTTGCCAGTGATAGCGGGGTTACAGGTCAAGTTGACATGGTTGTGGTTATTATTACTATTATTATTATTATTTATTATTATTATTAGGGCTACATGATAAAAGTTTTTACTATGCCTTTTTCCAATTCCTTATGATTTAATAATTTTATTAATATTATAATTGTTATATTTGAATTATTCATATATTGTAAAGTAAACTGATGATTGAATTGGAAATAAAGGCGTATTGAACTGAAAACATTAAATTGAATATCTATGGAAGTCAGACAACACTCGCTAAACCTCGCTTATTGAATCTGACACAAAATATCAGTGCAAGTCCACGTACAGAAAAATAATAATTACCAGTAATGGAAACAGTAAACATACAGCTACCCGTATTACCAGCAGCATCAGTAGCAGAGCAGTTTACATCTGTCGAACCAACAGCAAACGAGGAACCAGAAGGCGGCGTACAAGTAAGAGGCAGGTCAGTGTCCAGGTTATCTGTGACTTCTGCGTAATCCCATGTCACAATAGTGCTCGAAAATGTTATGTTCGCTGGACACGTCACAACGGGACTCTTAATATCTACAGAAAATGATAAACAACTTTAATTGAAAATTGAGAAAATATATTTTAAAGTTTTTATCTTCATCGTTATTACAATTAATGTTATTATCATCACCTCATTGTCACCATTATCATCATCACCATAATATGGATGGATGTATTCGGTGGAAACACCAAGGATAACTCACAAAAGTCTGAAGAAGACTTATTTCCAGTGGGGTCGTTCTGGTGGTGATTACCTATGCAGCACGCCGGAAGACTATCCCCTACCGTACTCTTTTCCGAAGAGTGTACTGCGTTCTTTAACGTCCACATTGGCCATAATGCACACGTGACCAACGGCTTAAACGAACGTCTCTTCCGAAAGACGGTGCGCTAACTTTATTTCAGCCCTCCAGCTGAAATGCAAGGAGAGGAGTGATGCCAATCGAACCGGGGACCCAGAGACCTCCACTGTTCAGTACACACACAGTGGCTACAACCAGTGTAAGTCTGGAATATTGTTAAAAACATTTGTTTTATCAAAATACCTGTGAATACTTGTACCTCACACAGTCTAAGATGTTCAGACGTCGGTAGGTAGACGCTAACGTATTTGCCAGTTATAGCGGGGTTACAGGTCAAGTTGACAGGGTTGTGGCCATTTGCGATGACTGAAGAGAGGTTATATCCACATTGGACGTTTCCAATAAATGGTGCTGAAGAGTCATTGCCCACTCGAACGATTGCTTTATCCAATTTGTCTTTAATTGAACAAGGTACAAAAAACAAAATATTTGTAATGATTTTATGATGATGATAATCGGTTGTCTCGTGACGACGGTCAGATCAATCTCACTAAAAGGGCAGGATAGCCAACCACCAACCAGTGGTTTTACCTCAAAAACAATATTATTACAAGTTTAGTTTTTTTGTTATTGATATTCTCCATTCAAACCTTCAAGAAATTAGACTTAGTTTACTTTAATGTTTGAATCGGTCAGTAGGGAGCGGCAACAACTTCATCAACTCAGATGGAATCCGGCTGCAAATTATCTGAAAACCTATGTATTTCTTACATGCATGTCCATATCTCATGTATACAAAAATGCTAGAAACGATGGAAGTTTGGCCAAGATCCACATACCACCAAGAACTCCAATTGCTCTCTGTAATGATAAATCATAATAATAACTTATACTTATAAAATACTTATTTATTGATATTAGTATTACTGATAATAATAATAATAATAATAATAATAAAGAGTTTTCCTAGTTATGTGTGTAATCAGTATTTCTAATTTCAATCGAATCATTCACCACCTACAAGGTACCCTTTATAATATAATATAGTAAGAAAGAGACCTTTTATCACAAAATTTAAGAGTGTTATTCATTCTCATCTTATTATTTCATTGAGATGTTTTCTATTTGATCGTTAGATTTCTATCTGTATTTTGATGTGTTTTTTATGTTTGCATATGATGCGTTGAATGTTTATTATACATTTTTTGAAATTGAAATATTTATACTCTTGGGTGAAGAGAGGGAAACATTAAGTGTCTTGCCCAAGGAAGAGCATCTCGGTCTCGAACCCCTCGGACCTTCCAATTGAAAGGCCTAACACGCTGCACTACACGTAGAAAATATTTATTATAATTAGCATTTGCGTTCATACTATTAGACCCAATGCCGAGCCAGCTATTGGGACAGTTGGGACAGTCACACATAATTTTTCTATTAGGTCCATAAAGAATGGGTCCTTTAAAATTTCTCATATTTTGCGTAAAATTGGTAAATTTTAAAGAAAATCAGTCTAGATTATTCATATTGTTGCGTAAAACGGGACAACTTTTAAGAAAATGGGTCCACATTATTTGAATTTACGCGTAAAGTGGGTCTACCCTGATATTGTCCCACACCGTTTAAAAATCCTGGCTACGGCATTGATTAGGCCCTACCTGATTCTGAACACAAACGTCGGCTGTAAGTTGTTGTGTACCCATCGACAGCTAAGTCCGCAGTTAAGCTGATGTTGTATCGTTCAATCTGATTTGTTGAGCTCTGATAAGCTGCCATTCCCTCAGATATTAATTCTAATTTAAAAATGAAACAGAAAATAGTGTCACAATATCTTAGCGAATTAACGTCCCTTCGTTTACAGTTATCCTTGAATTCAGAGTAATATGCTTGTACACTCGTCCTTCTACATATGGCAAATTAAATTCAAACATACAAAAAGAAAATAAATCATTAAAGTTTTTGGCAATCGAATGTATTGTTCTTTTATATGATCGTTTTTACTGTATTTTTTTTTTTAAATAAATATATATGCTCCCCATACAGGGAATTTATTCATCAAACTCCAGGCCTCCGGCCCCTTGTAAAACAAAATTATTACAAATTAAATAAGCGTGCTGTGACAATACCGTACTTTAAATAAATTTCATTAATACACCCGTGTTTCTTTGTTTTCCTTTCTCTTAAATGCATGATAAATAAATAAACATACTTTTCTAATTATATTACTGATTTTTGATGACATAATTTGATAAAATTTTTCATTTGTTGGAAAATTAATATAATATGATGGGAGATATGTTTTTCTTAAATCAGTATATAACTTGCAAAACAAAAGAAAATGAATCTCATCTTCGATACTACCATCTTGGCAAATACAAAGTCTATTTTTATAATTAACATTGTTTTTAAGCCCCTTTTCGATTTCAAGGTTGTGATTTGATATACGAAAAGATGTCATTAACAGTTTAAAATACGGTTTTATATTCATTGAGAGATAAGCTTCAATTCCAAAAGTACACTTGAATTTAACATATTGTTTCAATTTATTTGAATTATTTAGGTAAATTACCCATAGACTTTGTATTTGCCATAATTGCATACATAGATTTCGACGCTTGTTCAGCCAGAGTTTTTTGTGCCATAGACCAAATACCACGAGATGAAAAAACAATACCTAAATATTTAAAATATGGAACGACTTCAATTAAATTACCTCGGTATGTCCATCTTTCAATAAATATAGGCCTATAGATATATAAAAATAGCAAAATATCCTAACTTTACCTGATATTTGTTTAATACAGATTATTTTTGGTGTTCACGCAACGACAGAGAGAAAAAAAAACCCCGGTAATGATTCTGTCCATTGTAATTAGACACTATTTTTAAGTATGGTAGCATAGACCTATCATGAATATTTCAAATATGTTTTGTAAATTCATCATAAATTTATATTGTCTATATGATTCTTTTCTTTGGATAACATTGCAGCAAATTTGTAGTACAGTATCTTATCGTCGTCAAAATATCGTACCTGAACTTGGCCGTATCCGGTTTGCATTTAATCTAGGATGCAAGGGTGCGCCTGGATCATGGAATTATGTATTTGTTAATCACTGGTAGGCCTACATATATATTTCATACAGTATATTAGCCAAATAGATTTAAGGCTTCCTCTTGGCCCTGACATATGGTCGTGTTGTTTTCCATAGCTTATAGCTTATCATACGTTTTATCATGAGATAGGCCATTCCAAAATGCAATACTGTACATAACTATAATAAATATAAGAGTTTTTAATTTACTTAGCCCTACATGAAACATTGGTCTCATTAGTATTTAAAAAAAAAATCATATTACATTATTGAAAAGATGAGAGTGCAATTTGTTGTCTTCTCTAGTTATATGTGTGATGATGATGATAATGATGCATATGTGTATATTTTGATGCATATCGGCGCAGTAGTAGGCAATCCCACAAGGTACCCATTTATACTCCTGGGTGGAGAGAAGCAACGCAGATAAAGTGCCTTGCTCAAGGACACAACCAAAATGCTCCATCAGCACATAGTTTAGCAGGGGCGGCCAGGCCCCGCCCCCCCCCCTTTTGGAAGGTAAAAAAAAGAAAAAAAGAATAAAAAAAAAAAAAAAAGAAAGAAAAGAAAAAGTTGATCGCCCAAAACGCCTCAGAGGGTTTTTTGGGCGTCTAGAACACAAAAATTTTGCAGGGCAGTGTTATCTCGATCGGCGCCATTTCCGGACATCTCTGGATCCACCCCTGATTAAAATAAAACTTAAACAACAACAACGACAATAAATAATAATAATAATAATAATAATAATAATAATAAATAATAATATAATGAATAATAAATAATAATAAAAATAAATAATAATAAATAACAATGACAAGAATAACAATAATAATAATAATAATAATAATAATAATAATAATAATAATAATAATAATAATAATAATAATAATAATAATAATAATATGATTTATAAAGCGCACATATCCGCTGCAGTAGACATTATAAGTAAACAATAAAATAACAACAATGTGTGACTACTAAAGTTACAATTGTTAAACATTCGCTTACCTAAACCATCATCATGAGGTGAACAGCTTAACATTTGTCTGGAATCTTTGGTGAAAGTGATGAAAATTAACAATCCGAAATAAATCTTCATAATTTCTGCAACGATTATTTAATAACGCTGACGTCAATCAACCACTTACATACAGTGATAGCAAAACTTGAATTCGCCTGATTTTTGGATAACACGGAAGTAACATCTTCCTACAGGAAGGATGATTTTTTTATTCAAATTTTTAATTTTAAGTTAATAACTTACGTCAATATACAAATTAAACATTTCAAATGTGGAAATAAATTTTCAATTTTTTTACCCCATGATTGATAGTACATCTTTAACGATGTAAACAAAATAAAATTTTGTTTTTTTTGTATTTTAATGATGCTGAAGAACTCGCTTGTACGGATTTTGGTGCACGTGCAACAGGGAATGGTATGCAACCATTTTATATCATCAATCACTCACTTCAACATGTTTACTCTAAACTAGATTATGTCTTCTAGCGTTTGAATATTAAATTTTCTCGCCTTTCTGTTCCATTGTATAGTAATAATAATAACCATTATAATAATAATAATAACTGTCATCTCATATGGCGTATGTATCCATCTTGGCGCCGTTTTCCACCTGCAGCGTAGCCTTTTTTTCTGCATTATTATTTTTTTAAAATTAATTAATTTTATTTGAATAAATTATTTTTACTTTTATGTATATTCATTTTATGACAGAACTGACATAGATGGGAAGATAAGCAAAATAAAGATGTACTCTTCGGGGTCCAAATCCATCACCACCCTGTTGCATAATCAATGAAAATCCAATATTCATTAGAAAGGGGGTAAATAATGGGTATATTTGTCGTCTTTCTAGGTTGTTTAGTTAGTCTCTGAGCTGTTCTAACCCCTCTACTGTTACCTTTATTAAGTCTATTTTTTACATCATAAAATGACTGTATATTATACTCACTTTTTAAATTTTGATCTGTTTATTGTTGCTTACTTGAGTAGTCTTTTTTCAATTATTTTTCAGAATTTTTATATTAAGATTATATTATAATGTAAATATATAATGTCACAATCCTGTTATGGCCATTTTCGTTACTGAGGTATCATCAAATAAAAAAAAATCAAAACATTATAAAATATTACAAGACACATACAAATGCAATACCAGAAAAAGTAATTTGAATGGATTCATTTTCGCTAAGCCCCCACCTCCTCTGGACCCATACCGCCAATAATTTTGCTGAAAGATACCATAAAATGATACATGTGCATATTCTCTGAATAAAGTGTCATTAAGAAAGCAAGATTATTGGTTATGATTAAAAAGCAGGGAAGCTAAGCAACAACTTACACATGGTTCACAAGGCTGATGATTAAGGGCTGCTAGGTAGAAAATTAAACAGGTAATTTTTAACTACATAATCGTAATTATTTAGTGGTGGGGTGGGAGTTGTAATGTTGACTTGGTGAGAGAGGCGCAAGCTATATTTTTTGGGAGACGTTCTTCCCCCCAGCACCACTGGTTTTTAATCTGATTTAAGATACAGTAATTTGATAAATCAGGAAACAGCAACAATCAGTGTCTTCAGAAGTTTATTCAAATATATCATGAATATTCAATTTTCTGATAAGTTACAATGAAGAACTTTGTCCATCTATACAGTTAATTTACACTATTACTTATCTTTCTTGCTTATAAGTTATAAAAGAAATGATATACATAAAAAATTCCAAATGTAAATGTGAAAAGCATCACATAGCTAAACAGTAACTTTTGAAGCAAACTCTGCTAATAGGCTTGGATTAAGGTAGCTACTTGTGTGCACCATGCTTGTTACCCAAAATAAACTGCACAGACAATTCACATAATATATACAATATGTTATTAAAGAGTACCACAGCACAGTGGGTTAAACCTGTTTTTCCCATCCAAATTGTCTGTTTACTTATCAAGGGGCTAAATGAGTTCCAAGTACTATAATAATCTGTATTTGTCAAAATCAATATTCTCATACGATAGACTATACATTTACTGTATATCGATAATATTATTAAAGTATTTACTTGCCGTAATCACAATTTATAATTTTCAAGTTTTTTAAGCTTAAAATTTTTTTTTAAGTGATCTTTCAGCCAATTTTTATACATTATTTTTTGTTTTGATATGTGTACAAACATTTATTATATGTATAATTTTTATACTCTTTTAGATCAGGCCGTAAAAGCATGTTGGACATGTTAGTTTACTATATAAAAAAAAAATAAATAGAAGTATTATGATCCTGGAGTTTATGCTGATCCAAATGCAGAGGAAAGATAAACGCAATGTTTTAAATACCAATAAAGTGTGCTGTTGACATAAAGCCAAATACAGAAATCATTACAATTGCAAAGCAAAAAAATAATCTATCTACATTATTGCTTATTTAAACAAAGTGATGTAAATAGAAACATTAGTTATTGGAAATGATGTAACAATGACTTCTGTCATAGGATAACCAATGTATGGTTCATACCACATGTCATTGTAGGTACCATTGTACTCAATACATTACAATGTACATACAATGAGAAAGATGAACCAACTTTTATAAGTACATTACAGCGTCTGCACAATGAGATGGCGTTTGTTGTCGTAAGTAAACCGGTGAGCCTTGAAAATGTCACTTTCATAAAATGGCAGCAGGTTGTGGATATTAATCTGCCTTGCCTGAAAATGATAGAAAACAACAAACACATGAAATTATAACAATATTGATAGCAATAATAACTATAATTATTTGAAGGTTTCCATGGCAAAGTAACAATAAGAATAAATACTTGCAGAACACCATGTAGATAGTTCTGAAAAGGGGTATAGTAGCAATAGCAATAATAATAATAATAATAATAATAATAATAATAGTAGCAATAACATAACAGATGAAATCGATAGTAACATTAATTATAAAAAAAAACTACTCTACAATAGGCAACCAAATACAGAACAGTGTTTGTCTAGTAGAGCTTCCTTAACAACTAACATAGAAAGTACTCTGTCTTTATACAAGTATAACTATTCTTACTACACTTGAAATAAACTAAAAGTTGATTATCTAAACAAACAACAAGTGAAACATTCAAAATTTTATCATCAGTACAATTTTTTTGTTGACCCTAAAAATTAATCAGTCAAAGCATTTATTATTTAAAATACCTTTTATGAGTACTAACTGTTGCTTAGTTCTTGTAATTTACGGGGTGTCCTTTTCCACAACATCGTAATTTTCATTCAATGTATTTTCATTATTTTCACTTGCTTATGTTATTGAAATGTGGAATAAACCAATTTTGACTGATTGATTGATGGTCACCTGCAAGGAACATTTCACTGTCCTTGGGTCATAGCCTCAAACGAGTCTGTCATACAAAAATTCAAGCGGCAAATGTTTACCTTATCTGCGAGGTCTCTGTCAGATACTTCAATAACCTCCTGCTGTTTGCCATAGCGCGTCCTCAGGTAGGTCATTTGGTCACTCACCAACTGCTTTAGCACAAATAGTAACAGTTCGTTGTTGTCTCTCTTGAATGCCAAGTAGCGAGAGAAGTTCTGTATTAAAAAACCAACAGAATAATGAACATGATAAAATATAATGAAAAATAAAATTTTTACAACAATGGAAAAGTAATGATGAAAATATAACATATGTATAAAGTAACTGCAATAAACATAATACCTACTGTATCTATATAAAAATAATAACTTATCTATCTTGTTGAGAAAATTGTTGAAAATGTACTTTAAATAATTGTTACACACAATACCTGAACACATGCATTTAGATTACTGTATGTGCTACTCAAGTGCTACTGATTCTATTAATTTTAATTTACTAATTTATTTCCTTCACATCCAACAGCCCGTACACTCGTCTCTTACGGAAGGATGGAATGACGCTTTATAAACCAAGTCTCTTTATGATTTTATGGTCAAAGCCGAAAATTTTATAAGTATATGTTCCATTTTATATTGCTATATTCATCTACACAAAGAATGTCAGAATAATTTATGTTGAAAGTCAGTGTTGCACTTTTTAACAATCTGTTGCTCTTAGAGTTACATACCTTTTTCATGCTTTTCATGACACTGAATTTCTGCGTATCAATAAAACTTTCCAGCATTACTCGCATTGCCATATTGACATCGTCTTCATTTACATATTCGCGCAGGTGCATCTTAGCGTGAGCCTCAGCCATTCTAATTACAGACTCGATGTGTCGGACAGTAATTGGCACACTACCTGTTGACTATCAACAGACACGCATAATATGAATCAACATACAGTATATATAAATAGAGATAAGCAAGCAAGCATCGTAGTTACCAACATACAGCTGCGCTCTAAAAATAAAACTAGACCTCATGAGCGTTTGGCCGAGTGGTAATGTTCCTGCTTCTTGTGCTGAGGACCATTCAAATCCGCCCAACATCGGATTTTAATCAGAGTTGATTGGTCGGCTCCTCTAATTAAACCCTTCCATGAGAGTTAGGCCTGACAGGGATATGGTATTGGTGCCGTATTATTGCCGCTGCAGGTCCCAAGGGGCCCAGCCAACTTTCTAATTTTAAATTTGGAATAATAATAATAATACTGTAATAATAATAATATAATAATAATCATCATCATTAATTATAATTTTCATAATAATAATAATATTAATAATAGTTTTAACACAAAATTTATTGACAGAAAGGATCAATGTTTTGTGTCCATCATGGACGCATTTTCAAGATCAAGTGAACAGAAAATAAACATATGATAGAAAACCAAATGTAGGTGACATGAAGTAAGATTAAACAGTCACATGTTTAACACCTTATATGTTAACAATAGCACAGTATAATGGAGTTGAAAAGTGATTTTCTCCATGCTAGAGTAATTAGTTTAGATTAGATAAACAATAATAATAATAAATTCAAAACAGAAGAGGGTCAGGAATAAGTGCTAGTCCCATACACAGGTGTTGTCCCATACAAACTCATGTATTTACATATGTTTACTCTGTTGATTTGTGGGACCTTCGCAACAAAATCTAAAGTGCTGGGCTTAGCAGAAAGGGCCATTAAATCAAGATCCCAGTTTTAGAAATCAAGCACTTGTAGGTTAATTAATAATTAATGTTTATTGAAAACCACAATTAAATAATACAGCTGCCCTTTAAGTCACTTACCATTGATTCTCTTCTTAACTCAGAATACAAGTTTGATACTTTGTCTTGGTCCATATCATGCAGCTTCGGGTGTACCTTCTCTTTGGCGTAGATGATGTATTTCTTCAGCAGTTCTTGGGGGATCTTTTCTATACCAGACGTCGTTGGAAGTTCCTAGCAAAGAAACGATCAATACCTGTATTAGTAAACTTAAATCATTCAAAATTTTAACATGCTTTTTTCTCTAATTTTTATATTGCAATCAAATAATTAAATTATTACAATCCCATGATAACCTGGTTCTTGTTAAAACCAGCATTTCTTCTGTGTAAAAGAGGACATGTAAAACAATAACACTGACCACCGGGTATATTGGACAGGGTTCTTTTGGGACTGCCTAATGGTTCTGTTGAATAAAAGGGACATCATTCTTTTTATCATGTTCACAATAATTTATTATGTATTTTTTGCAGACTGGAGGGGTCACAGAAAAGAGAATGTTTTACACTAAATTGAAAATAATAAAAAATCAATTACACTTAAGAATATGCTTACTACTTACAATTGATGAGTGGTCGGTTTCCGAGTCGTTCGATGGATGATGGATCATGTGACTGTTAGTGACAAACCTGGCTAGTAATTCATCCTAAAATTGAATCAAAGATTTACAAAATGCAACATTTATTATCATTATATTCTTTTCTATATAGAATAATATTGGTTACCAAAGATAAACCTATCTGAATAATATGCTATTAATGACACTGAAATTGATCATTTAAACTTTTGTAAAATCTGTTATTTACCAGTCACAATTTACAAACATTAGTATATTTCTTAACACATACTATAATGAACAATACTTTCTGCTCACGATTCAAACACGGGTTTACAGTTTGTTATAGCAGCAAATTTTTACTTGAAAGAATTTTAAATTAAAATTCAATGTAAAACAGAACACTAAAAAAAGGAAATATATATTTAAATAACATTAAAATTAATAACAAATTTTACTAATAAACTTAATAACAATCATAAAAACAATAACAATACTAATAAAAAAATGATAATACTATAATTAACAATACAATTGTTCACAAGAAATTGTGTCCATAAAACTGTTATTATTTTTGGGAGAAGTTAATGACTTGAATGATGTGATTGCCATCAAGAAAATTTGAATGATGTACTTACCTGTACTGGATCAACAGTGTCACGAACAACACAAAGAATATCAAAACGAGAGAGTATTGGCTCTGTAAGATCAACCTATGGGAAGAAATGAAAAAAATATCTTGAAAATAGAATTTTGGGGTCTTATCCCCTAGTGTGTCAAATTTGATTATACAAACCTGCCATTTCTTTACCTATGTATAGGTAGTCTCTTAATGTCTATTTTATAACTGATAATCTTGCCTAGCTTCCTGTCTAAAATTTTCTTCTAAAATTCTTTTTTAAAAAAAATATTTCAATTACCAAAAATAGCCTCTATAGGACTCAAGATAGGCAGTGGCAAATGTTTAGGTTATATTCCAAAAAATGGTGTATTTTTTTATTTTTTTATTTATTGTTGTGACACCTTTCTATAAAAAATATTTACACTTTCATTTCTTTTTTTTTTTTTGCATTTCAGCAAATTTGACAAACCAGAATATTATACAGTATAGGTAGACAAATGGTTTTTAAATTCTCTGGAAAATATGATTCACTTGGGGTACTGTAGTCAACTATAGTCGCCTCTGGCGTCTTGTGGGCTAACTGGCTTACGACATGAATATAATAGGTGGGGAAAATTTACCAACAACAAAGATAAACTTTCAAACTTTGATAGGTGGGGTAATTACATTTTTTACATTGAAACCATGTTCAAAAGTTGCAATATTTTTTATAAAAACAGACGATAGATTTCTTACATTTTCCGAGAATGTCAAAGTTGCATTGTACCTTCCAGAGATGGGGTTAGAGGCAGCGATGATGCTACACCTTGCTTGCAGAGACGTCACGATTCCAGCCTTTGAGATAGAAATGCTCTGTTGTTCCATGGCTTCATGGATACTAGTACGGTCTGCATCATTCATCTACACAAGTAAAGATTTTAAAAAATAATGAAGGCGTAATCTAATCTGATGCTCTGCCCTCAAAATATGTATATGCATGATGTCAGAGAAAATTGGCAAATTATTCAGGTAAGTATTCGCAAGATAGAACAAAATAAAAAAACAAAAAAACAAAAAAAAATAAAAGAAAATATATACATACAAGGATCAAAATACAAGATGGCAAGGAATGACCACCAGTTAAAACAAAATTTGGCTTTTATGTGACAAATTTATTGTGACATGCCCATATAAGGGCATGAATGTCATATTACACATAACTGTATGGGTGAATCTCAGAAGTCGATAGCGTGAACAGAGTGTAAGTAAACTACAAAGTCAATTTAGTAGAATTACAAAAATATGGGCTACACATCTTGGAAGAAATTGTCAAATGTTTTCAAGATAAATGTTATTCACAAATTTCAATAGCAACACACCTTGTCAAACTCATCAATAATGCAAACACCATTATCAGCTAACACAAGAGCACCAGCCTCCAATGTCCATTCCCTAGTGACAGGACTGCGCTGGACATAAGCAGTCAAACCGACAGCTGAAGCACCTTGCCCTGTGGTGAATATAGCACGTTGGGCAGTGACCTCAACATACTTCAGAAACTGCGATTTAGCCGTGCCAGGATCACCGCAGATCAGAATGTTAATGTCCCCACGTATTTTATGCTTCTGGCCTGGATTCTTTTTAACACCGCCAAACAAACTGAGGGCTAGTCCACGTTTGATGTCATCGTGACCATAGATTGAAGGTCCGATACTTGCAAATATCTGCATCAAAGAAACAATTATACAGAGGTCATCTCAGAGGTTAAAGGTCAATGCTGCTTGTAAATCAAATTTATGAATAAATATACCTTTAGGAATGCTGTTTGTAAATCACAGAAACATCGTCGTAACTACTGTCTTCACTCAAAACCTTTCATTCTTTTTTGAAAGGGTTGGCAGGCAGACGATACAAAAAAAATTTATTTATTGCCCAACACAAAAAAGGGTCCCCACAGGCGACCGCTAATTTTCAGCCCTGAGGATGTACCTATGTAACGTAATCATAGCTGCGTTAGAACGAACTAATCATTGCTGATATATGCATTGGTGTTGGTGGAAGAAAAAAAGTCAGTCAAGAAAAGCATTCACAAAATATAGACACATTCTCAGTGACAGTCATAAATAATTCTTGATATTTTATTGTGAAATGAACAAATATGGATGAGGACTCACTCTTTCCGCAATGCGCTCGTCCTTTGACAATGCTATGATTGCTTTCACGTCCTCATCTGTTAGGGCGCCAACAATCATCTTGTCGTCCCTCTTGCAAATATAGTTAACAAGAATAACAGTAGCAAAAACAGGAAATCCGTTGGCTGTGTTTAGTGAACCATCGTAGTTGTTATGGTAGATACCTGTCAGTTCCTGAAAAAAAAAAATTCAAATATATTACATTTTTTATAATATCATTAATATTTTTTTGTATTAGTGTCTGAAATAACAAATAATCTAAAAATATTACAATCGTAATCATTATTATTATCATTGTCACTATTATTTTGGTCAGCCTTATTGTGTGATTATGTAAATGTACATTGCTATAAAATCAGTTTGCTTATCATAAATTTCATCATCTAAAAAAAAAAAAAAATTTTATACAACTCTGTTAAATAATTGAACAGGTTCTTACCACTTCATCACCTGGTTTGCAGCAGTCGACCAAATCAGCCAATAGAATTGCTTCCTTGGACCTTGGCAATCTGCCAGGAGCTACCTTGCCGGGGCTTTCTTGGATTGTTATCCGCTGATAGTCTTGGTACAACGTCTACAACATAAGTAATGGGACGATTAAATGCTTTAAATATATATAATTAGGGAGAAATATATATCTTATTTTTGGTGATTTCAAGGCAGCAGTGGGCGTAATAAAAATAAAGGAAAACTTTTATTTCCTTCTGAAATTTCCATTTTTTCATGGCGGAAAATTTTCAGTGCGAAAATTGGCCAAATATAAAATTTTATTTTTATTCCAAACTATCATTACTGGTGGGTGGCGAGTTTGCTAAACAAGTTATAAAAAAATTCTCGCCTAATGGTGCAATAGTGACTGGTTCATTACATTAAAAACTAAAAAATGAAATAGTGCATTATTGTGCAATATATGCATGTATATTGTCAATAATATAATAATGTATTATAGCAACAAACAATGAAACAATGAATATCAATTATATATTTATAACATAATAATTATAATTACTATTTATATAATATGTAATAAAACAGCACAGATATAAATTATCATGTAAGATCCCGACAAACCTGTTCCATGTTGACGTCAAATGGTCCACTAGACTGGCACTCTGGACAGGAACCAGGCCGAACCTCTTGGTTTTGTCCTTGGTAGAATGGACCCAGCACAAACCCACACTTCTGACAGTTGTACTTGATCATATTGAGCTGTGGCAAAATCCCTGTGGAGCTGGTCACTACACCACTGGTTCGCACCAACTGGTTCAAATGCAGTTGTCTGAAAAATAAAACAAAGTATTTCTGCTATTAAAAAGACAGTATTTTTGTGATCTTTGAAGTCAAATTATACTGTACTATGCTATTATTAATCAAACAACCTAAAACTGGAAGACAGAGTCTCTTGATGACGTTGATGGTCATGATGATAATGGGGGGAGGTGAGTTGAATGATTGAGCTGTTATGGCAGGAGCGCTGCAACCTACAGCTATAATATTGATGCTGGTTCCAGTGGCAGACTTGCCTATGGTCCTGGATAAGGACTATCAACCGTAGGCTCAGTGTACAAAATTGGCTCATGTGCACTTTAAACAACCTAGTGCATACAGCTCCTGTTACCATTCGGCTATGGACCATTAGTTCCTCTGCAAGATGTACATAAACGTAACTGTAATAATGAATATGGTGGTTGTACTGATGATGAAGCTAATGATGATAATGATTATAAAGATAATAGTAAAAATGACGATGATGACAACAATGATGATGGTGACAATGATGGAGATAATGATGATGAAGCTGACAAAGATGGTGATGACGTAAATGTTGAAGACGATGACAATGCTGGCAATGGTGAAAATTACTAAGGGGGTAAAATAATGGTGATAATGATGATAATAATCATTACTTATGATTATTAAAATCCTGCCATGTATGTCAGAGTGTTTTCTTCAAATCATCAAATTACAGATGAACAGCCTTATGTATGAATTTGAGTGGATTGTTGAATAAATACAATTCTGTATGTTTTGTATTGTATTAAAATCTACACCTTCAACAACTATAACATACCTAAGGGAGCGTAACTCTTCAACCAATGGTAATTCTGCAATTCTAACATGAATCTCCTTCGCTATCATCTCATACTTTTGAAACATTGCGAGCACAACCTGTTTTGCGGCTTCATCAAAGATCTTCAACATCTCTGCAGGTGCTTCAGGGAGGAAGTAGGCCAGAACGTGTTCCTTGGAAGCTAGGATGTTGTAATCTATCACAAGGCTTTCTTTGTTTGCTGTAAAAGACAAACAATAAATTGTGATGATGAGACTATTTTGTGTTCATTGTGCACACCCATGAAAAAATATGAAAAACAATTAATGTAAGCTGTTTGGTGAAGCAGTAACAGTTTCCCAATGCTGAGGTTTTCGCCTAAGAGTCTAAATGGGTAGCTATTAGCGTTCCCTGCTTTCTACTTTATCAATACAACAGTAGCACTAAGCACGTAAGCGCTCGAAGGTGGGGGCGGTGGGGAGGGAATTTCATAGATGAAGAGTCTAAACCACATCAGCCCCACCATGGTTGGAGCTGAGGTGGGAGAGTATGTGATTGTGGCATGCATCTGGGTGGCCAGAAGTGGCTCTCTAACACTTGAATTTGACTATTTTTTAGGGGCCCGGGTAGGATTCCCAATCCCTTGAATCCACCAATGATCTGGTTAATGAGATTTTTTAACACATTTAATTTTATTCTGTTGCACATAGTGATAGGCCTACCTACTGGCACTGACTTCCATGAGAAAATTGATAATAAAGCATTGAAAACATGCAAATATTATGAATTTGCGGAGATGGGTTAATTTCCGGGAGACTCTTATTTGCTTGCAGGAGTGTGTCCCGATTTCCGGGAGACTCCCGCGAGTTTCGGGAGACTTGGAACCCCTGGTAACCAAAAGAAACTATGCTATATAAAGCTAACCAACATAACAAAAACAAGAAAAGTTTACAAAAAATTTGAATAAAACATTAAAAAGCAATTGTTTACCTTCACACATTTGTCTAATTTTCTCCTTGTAGATATTGTGTCCCTTTTCATCTACACAGGTTTTTAGGAAATTTTTGAAACGATTGAAAATTTCTAGCCGTGGAGCTGGCATGGCGACCCATTCTCTAACGCTGTGACCTTTCATATCCTCCAAGTTTTCAATACTTTCTATCATCTGCAAGATATAATGTTTGTTTACCAATCTATTAAACATAAAGGAGGGAGACATGTAGCCATTCTTTGTTGTCATCATTTCATCACACTACCTATCAAAACACACTATGACATGCCAATGATCCCTAGCTTTCTCCTTTCATTTCAAGCTTTCAAATACTGTACCTGATCATCCTCATCAAAACCTTCTGCTGCCCTCTCTGCTAACCTTCTCCTGCGAGTTGGACGCTCATCTTCTTCATCACTTTCATCTAAAACAAGTTAAAATTACTAAATACATAAATTTGTAGTTTTGACTTTTAATATATAAATATGTATGTGCACATAAAATGATAATTTCAAAGTCAAAAGTGGTGAGAAACAAAAAGTATATTAAATCTGTATGAAAGTGAATAAAAAATACAACACAATTTTTGAATACAGTTATAACATTAACACAACATAAATGGTGATAATAATCATTAAAAATTTAATAGTAATATACACTAAAGTAATTTTAAATTTGTACTAATTTTGTTGCAGTCAGTATTTATAAATTTATAGAATCAAATTTCTACATAAAAGTTACGAAAAAAAGTGGTACACATACCATATAGCAATCCCGGCCTCATGCGTCCAGTAGCCAGTGCTTCCTCTCGGTCTCTCTTTCGCATGACTCTTTCAGCCTGCATTCGCTCATCCATCGTCATACCTTCGTAGTCCTCTTCGTCAAGGTGATCCATATCATATACATCTAGTTCTGGTATTGCACGATAATCACTAATTTTCAAAAGCAAGATTATTTTTAATTTTTTGCCTTGTGTTTATGTTTAGGGATTTGCCACTTAGAGAACTTAAAAGCATGCTATTTCAATTCAAAATTAATAAAATGTACAGTACATATCAAAAATGTTGATTAAAAAACTTATTACAGTACAATGAAAAAATGAGACAACTAAATAATTTAATGACATATACTGTAAATCACTGAACAATATCTAAAGCAATATTAAAAAAAGGATAAATTATAATTATAATAATCACACTAGACAACACTAAAATAAATTAATAAGAAGTTCAAGTAACATTTGGTGCAGCCAGAGGTACAGTAAGATAAAGAAGCAAAATAAACTAACCTTTACCGTATATATACTGTACATTGTGCTTTTCAATGTTAAAACAACACTTTTTTAAGGATTTGATGATAGTTTGTGCATGAGAAATGCCCGAAATCATAAACTTTGAAGGCTGATTTCTCATATATTGTTTTTAAACAGCTGTATGTTTATATGCTTGTAACTTCATAAGGAAATGTCGGATTTGAATGATTTTTTACCATTTTATAGCTCTTACTTATTTTACTCTTTAACACTGCATTAATAACTCGATTTTTGCGATGAGTGACTGGTTTGGCTTGTCTTTGCCAAAATGCATTATGATTAAATTAATGATTCTGATTTTCATCAATGAAATAGATTTTTTTAAATAATAAATTTCAAATATAAGATTTCACTAGATAACACTTCTAAAATAAAAATACGGAGTTCATAAAATTTGGTGCAGCCAGAGGTAAGATGATATAATTTGAAGAAGGTCGAAGTATTCACTACTACATACTACTAGAATTATAATGAACACTTACTTTTCTAATTTATCGCCAAACAGTTCTTCACCTTCACCCTCCTCCTCAATCATTCCATCTCCCAAAAGCTCGGATTCATCTTCGAAGGGTGCAAGGTCGCTACGACCAGGACTGGATGTTGGTGCAACACCAAGAGACCGATCGTCACGGCCATCAGGACTGTTCATATTATCCTGTGATTAACAAAAAAAGAATTGATGCAATGTAGATAAATTGTAGAAATAATAACACAGTACAGTACAAGTATTTAAAATCTTGTTTTTACAATAGTTATTAATCAATACTAAACAGTATTTCACATTATACTCCTAAGTAACCTACCTAGGCTAGACGTCCTACCTTCATGCAATCCGGAATTCATACTTGCTAAAAATAATGAAGGTATGAGATAAATACAGCCAAAAAATATAAATCAGTATGATATTATTGTACAAGTTGGTTAAGCTTAAGAAATGCTCCCCAATCCTGATTTTAGATGGTCCTATGGCCATAGTGTCTCATAATAATAATAATAATAATAATATATGTAAATAATAATAATAATAATAATAATAAATAATAATAACAATTAATACAGTTCACCACCATCTTCGATAATTTTACTTTTTTAAACCAACACATAGCCTAGGCCTAGCCATATTAACTTAATTGTATTGAGATAAATTAAAACCCCTCACTCACCATCCTTACAAATTAATCAGCAAACCTGAAATGTAATGTCGTTGATTTTCACAGTGCCAAATTATTTCAATAAATCAAACATTTCTTTGTTTTGAAACCATATCTGAAACGGAACAATGGTCCATGGAAGGAGCCCAAAGCCTAGGCTCTGTAAGTACGTGTGCAGCATGAGAAACTTCAGTGCACTAACAACTTCGAAAGTTAAAAAGGGTGCACAACCAGTCCAGCAATCTACTCTATCTAGGCTGCCTATCTACACAACCATGCACTACGATTTTTCCAATAATTTATAGCAAATGATACTTACTGCCATACGTATTTCTACTCTTTATTTCCTTCGCCAAGACGTCCAAAGCTTGTCGGCTAATCTGCCTGTAGTTGTGTTGTGTTTTAAAACCCACCATGTGATCGGTCTCGACGCGGGAAAATTTTCAATGGATTTTAAAAACGGTCAAGGGTCATTGTATAGGTAAATCACTCGAGTTCTCACGCTCGAGTTTCTTTTAGAAACACAGTACGCTCAAGTTGACGTAAGTTATCGGTCAAAGGTTATGTTTCTAATCATCACATCGCACGACATACGATCGTCAGCAAGGTGTCCAGAAGTTGTTTTGAATGCATTTAAAGTAGCTAGAAAGTACGGATTGTACATGTTTACAAGGTATTACTTTTGATAACAAGTCATACAAATACGTTTTATAAGATGGACGCATAATATTGATTATCAATAATATATTTCAGGTCCAACCAATGGTTTGGGCTTGGTTGGACCATGAAATCAAGTTGATTGGTAAAAAACGTAGCCTAGGCTAGGCCTACTTGGTTGGGCTGGGCGTGCCAGCACTACCACACTTGCCAACCTACCAAACCTAGGCCTAGCTAGGTCTTGCCTTGCCAGACCTGAGCACGCCTAGTTTTAGTTTTGATACTACTACTAGTAGTACTATTATTATAAAATTATTGTTGAGAATGTTTGACTAAATCCTGTATGTAGTTTAGTTTTACAGGGAGAGCACAGCATATAAATTTGTGATTTAGAAAAAAAAATTAGTTCATATGTTTTCTTTCAGGAAGTATTACTTCCTAACACTATAACAACTCCCTGCCTAAAGAAAGTAGATAACAAATTTTATTACTGAAAAGAAAAGACTACAGCAACTCAGTACACAAGAAACTAGAAAATATCAATAGGTTTGGGCTTGATAAATGATTTTGATAGATAAACCTGCTTTATTCACTATAAATAATTGTAGATGATTAAATTTTGAACTTATTGATAAATTTTAGTAACTTAAAGCGTGAGAGCTTGATTGAGTTTAGCAGATATACTATGGCCCATGGGAGTTGAAGAAAGTGTGCTTCACTCACTTTTGTAAAAAAAAACAACATATTTCCTACCCAGACCACAGTTGCGCTAGACCTAGCTATATAATGTACAGATAAAATTTTGGTTCTTTCAGACCTTTGGTTCCTGGTTAAATATAATTACTGCTCTTGCTGCTCTCCGTGTGTTTTTGCTCTGAATGCTTTGTAGTTCAATAAAGGCCTATGCACATTTAGAAAATAGTAGGGCAGGTGATTGTCTTGTGGTTTAAAAAAGGTTCACTCGAAATAAGTTTTGAACAACTATGATTTATTCTTTATATGTTTCACGCCAAAAAATGTAATTTCATGTTAAATTCAGACTGATACAGCAGAATTGTTGGTTATTGTAAGCAGATACTGTAAGTGAAACCAAAACACAGAACAAAAATCTCTGTAACAGTAATATGAAAACATTCTGCCTGCAAGGTGGCTATTGTTCTATTACCTTGTCTTTTTATCCAATCAGAATTCAATATGACTTTACAGTAAATCCCAAGATGGCAACCATATGGCTCTACTAAAATGTGACCATAAATTTATGTTTTTCATTTTGTGTTTGTTTGAAAATAGTGTTTAATGTTCCTAAGATATTTTGTTGCAATAACTGTCAATATTGTGATACTACAGTATTAATACTATTTTTTCAAAATTTATTCAGGTATAAAACACATTACAAAACTCAGAACAATTCTGACATTATTGCTTTACAATCAAAAACAAACACTTAGAGAAAACATTTAAAGTCAGGCTCCGGAGGTTACGCCCCTTTTTCCCCCAGTTTTTAAATATTCAAAAATCTGTATCTCGTTCACCGTTCCCCAGTTTTTTCTGTCAGTTCTACAACATATAAAAAAAATGTTTTCCTCCGGAGCCTGACTTTAAATATACTAGAAAAAATATTCAAACTATACAGAAATTCACAACAGAACATTTATACTTTAATTTTTAAAAATTATTGATATTCAAAATGTATTTTAAATAAATAGTAATGGTATGCATTATAAGAATTGCTAGACATTTTCCCTTAAATTATGTTTCTTCTAATGTTTAACCTTGGTATTAATTATCTAATTTAACATTATAAACTTAATGTTCAATTACTCGTAATTTTTTAAATTTTTATACAATTGGAGGGAAATTATATATATATATATATATATATATATAAAAACAAAAAACTCCGGAGAGAAGGTAATAAGTTGCCAGGTATATATTTATTTAATTTTAACGTTTTTGGTTATCAACCTTTGTCAAGCTGAAGAAAAATATGATGAGAGCAAAATATATATAGTAAATGGAAGGCTCAAAACATGGCTTAAAAAACTATGGAATGCACCAATGAGGTGGCAGAACAATACGT